GCTTATATTAAATTTAAAGTGACAGAAGGCAATCAGTTTGGATATTTGAAAGTGAAAGGCTTTTCTAGCTTTTTTTACCAGAACAGTGAAGTAAGTTGTTTTCTGGCATTTTTTGGTGATTCTGTGCTATCTTGGCAGATAGTATGAGCAGCTCAATGAGAAATATCATACTACCTAACCTGCCAGAGAGCTGGGAAGTGAGGCAAATCACAGAAGCATTGGATTCTGGTTCTGCCTTGAATTTTACCCATATAAGTATACAGAAGTTGAGTAAAATCTCATTTAGGGTGCAAGATGATCTCTAATTCAAAGGCTGAACTGAGCAGGAGCGAAAGGAATGGAGGAAGCAGTAGAATGCAGATACAACTCAAGTTCACATATGATGAATAATATATAAGATCCATTTGAAAGTGGGAACACTTGGGATAGAAAGTTTCAACTCTGTCTTGGAGCATGCACAACCATTATTAAACATTCAAGCTTTTAGCCTTGTTTGTGTCACCTCAGTTCCAACACAGAGTCCCAGACTTCAATTTCCACTTGTATTTAGTCCCTGCCTTCTGCCTTTCTTGACCATGTATGCAAAATATTTTACAAACTGAACATGGCTTTTCATTTCAGCAGATGAGTGCCTATTTTTCACTGATCTGTTTTTGCGTAATTCTAATCACAAGTTTATGTCGTATCTGGTAAAGAAATCCAGTACTGGATTGTGGATTGGTCAGCCAGAATACACCATGCTGCAGACATAAAAATATGGAAAGAACTCCAGACACTAGTCCTGTCTGGTGGAAAATTGTTATCTGCAAACACCATCCACATCTTCAAACACAGATCCATGAAATGCAAACAGTAGCATCTTGTGTCAATACCTTTGGCCTGGTCATGCACAAGATCTGCTGAATCGTGGCGTTTAGAGATTCAAATCTTCAAAGTGAGAGCACTCCCTTCCCGGTGGGAAGTGTGGCTGCCTCAGGTCTGCGTGCACGAGCTCTTCAGCAGGCCTTCTTTAAGATTCTCCTCCTTTTTTTTTCTCCTGTTTGAGCTGAAGTGCTGCAGATCTGTCATTTCTTATACTCCACCTGCACACGCTAATGGCCAGCTCAATATATCTGGGGTACACTTCTTATTTCAAGCTGCTTTATTTTACCTACCAGATACAAAATAGGCTTTTAAAGCATTTTAAGTGTTTTGTAATCTGAACTTGCATGGTATATCACCTTAAGTGTGACCAGCATCGCCTGAGATATAGTTCCTGACTGCAGGCAGTTAAATTACTGCTTGCCCATGTGAATAGCCACCTGGTTTACTCCTGGAGTAGGGGGTTGACTCCTCAGACCAAGTTACTCTCTCTAATTCAAAACCTATAAATCTTCACCAGTAAAAAATGTTAAAAATAGTGGCTTTTTTTTTTTTTTAAGAGAGAGAGAGAGAAAAAAAAAAGAAAACCAGTTCTTTCATTGCATGGATAACATTCTCAACAGTACTACAGCAATCTGTTTTCAATCTTAGCTATGATCCTAAGTAGATGCCTTCTTGACTCTGGCATCATCATGGCTGCAAAATAAGAAGCAGGCTCACTGGCACTGAACATATACGCATGTCCTGGATTCGCTCTGCCTCCCGCTTGTGGAAAGCCAGCAAAAGCAGCAAGGCTGAGTTTTACATGTTTTTTCTCCAGTTTATTGTGTCTAGGTGGGGTAAGCGTACTGCAAAGCTGCCAGTTGTCCACTTGATGGTATCAAGTAACTGAACACGGGAGGGGACAGCTGCTTAATGCTCTCTGTTTGAGCAGACATGACCATATAATTTTATAACAGGTAAACCAGCTGCATTACGTTCTTCACCTACATGGACAACTCCTGTGCTAGATTTAATCAGATGGTGCTTAATTTAGCTTGCTGCTCAGACTCTGTAGTTCAGTCTAGTCTATTCTGGACCAGCCTTTGCTGTGAGGTGGATAAATACGGCTCCATCAGGAAAATCACCATGTTTTTTCTGTAAGAGGAGGACACTGCTAATTTGCAACTTCCAAGACTCTCTGGTGTCTATTTCTATATGAAAACACATTGGGAAAAAAAGTTATTGGAAATAATTTAGTCTCAAATCCTGTCATTACCAAATAATTTCTAAGCATTTAAACAAACTTTTAGATTTCCCAGAAGCAAGCTTTGGCAAAAAGAAAAATGTAACTTTAAAGCAGAGCAAGGAGGAAGGCCTGGTACTGGTCTCACCCTTCTTCATGCTGTTCCCCTTTGTCTGAGGATACGTGTGAGCAGCCACACACAAGGAATGGTTGAGCCTCATCTCTTTTCAGAAGTGAGACCAGACAAGGCTAACAAGTGTGTAAAGGTATAGCTACCCATTGTGAAAAAAAGCATGAAAAAAATTTCTTGGATATTTAAAAGTTGTTCTTGCCTGGTTTGGGCTTTCATTCTAATATGGCAGAGTTTCCTGTTTGTCCCAGACAGAAAGATCGAGGTTACCCATCACACCTCTACAGAATAAGAAACATCTAGCATGACATTTGTTATCTAGTAGGCAAGTGGCTTTGTCCCACAGAAACATGGTGGCCTGGCTCATTTGGTGATCTTTATGACAGCAAGCATGTGGAAATTTAACGCAACAAGGGCCTTCCTGTCTCAGGCTATTTCATTTCTGATGTGGAACACGCCTCGTCTAAAACAAACGGATGGCATGACGCTGGGACGGAAAGGTGCTTTGGCAGGAAGACTGCACCTTTCGGCCAAGCAAAACACTGAGCCAGGTCACACCGTTCTGTGGGTACACAGCTGTCCCTGCCCCCCGCCGCCCCCCAGCACCCCCCCCCAGCCCCGCATAACTCGATAATCACAGCCTGAGGCTTTGCTGTGTGACTTTGCTGGACTCACAGCGAGCAGGGGTGAGTCATGGCGCTGGCAGGGGGTAAAGCGAAGCGCTTGGAGCTGGGTACGGCTCGCACCACGCGCAGGGAGCCCGCGCGACGCACCAAATAAGAGCATGTGGGTATTATTTGTTTTCTTCTGTCAGATTGCTCATTCCAAATACCGTTTGGTCTTTGTATTGCCAAGAGATAGTCCACGAGCAAGTCCTTGTTTTGAAAAGGGCAGTTGTTATTCACATGTCCTGATCATAAGGTATGTGCCGCTTGGGGGAATTTGTTTGAAAACTGTTCATTGCAACAATTAACTGTTTATTGTGAAGAAATTATCATCTAGGGCTATGTAATCAAGATTTCTTCTCCCTGACTAGAGTCCACAAAACTTTTAGAAAGGAGAAAGACAAATTACAAAGAATAGATGACTAGCTATGAACTTCTGGTACGTTTTATTCAAAGTCTAAGTAATTGTACTGAAGCCTGCAAAGCTGTTTGGACCCATGTCTTCATGGCAGTTGTGATTGCTTGAATACTTGGAAAACAATAGGCAATAAAACCGCACAAATACGACTCCATAAGGAAACTTGATTCATAGTATAAACCAGCACTCTCAGTCTTATCTGAGGAGTGCCGGAGTTGGACAAGTCTCTTTTTCATCCCTCAAGTCTTTATATCTTGTAAGTGGTCAGTCTTCACATGAGTAAATGCCAAACAGGGTGAGTTACGTGTTCCTTCAGGCTCTGGTCCTGCTTCGAGAAGTTTCTCTGGTTGAAGAAGTTCTCTGGGCACAAGAAATGTCACAAGAAGTGCTACATAGGAGATGCACTGTGGTAATGCCAAGATGAGAACTGAACTACAGCAGGTAAATGCAGCATTTGGAAGGTAAGAGGCAGAGGGGAAAGGAACAGAAACCTTCCACCAGGCCACGCGTGCTGTTCTTTGGATGCTGATGCTTCTTTTCCAGCGGTACAAGCCAGGAGTGATGAAAATGGGTCGGTGCACGCAGACCAGCGAAGCAGCACCTTGGTCAATAAGCAAAGAAAAAGAAAATCAGTCTGAGTCGAACCGACCCCCTGCGACGGGGCGCGGGTGCATGCTGCCCCTTTGGAAGCCAGCCCTCTCCTCGCGTGTGCTCGCTCCCCCCCGCCGCTTAGTTTTATGCACGTTTTATCCTCCGCGCTCTAAAAAAGGAATGGGACGGCGGAGCTCTCCCTCCCCGTGGTTTATGCCCGCGCCGTGGGCATGACAGCCCGGGTGTAAACCGCCGTAAATTAGCGCGGCTTTCCAGAGCTTCCCCCGGCGGGGCGGGCCGGCCCGGTCACCCCCTTCCCCGGCACCCCGGCCGCTCCCGCTGCCCCCCCCCCCCCCCCCCCCACCTCCGGGGGCCGCGGCGCCCCCCTCATTTATTAGTCTACTACCCCGCGCATATATTATGCAAAGAGCGCTCCCCGCCCGCCTAGGTGAATAAATTATGCTAAGGAAGGCGGGGAGGCGGGCCGGCCCGCGGGGGCGGCTGCGCGGCGCGGCTGGCAGCGCGGGTGCGGGGGTTTCCGCGCCTGGCGCGGCTGCTGGGCGCCGGCGGGCAGGTGGGGGGTAAGGGCGGGGGGGGGAGAGCAGCGAGTCCGGCGGCGGCAGGGAGGAAAGCGGGGGGGGGGGGGGGAGTGGGTGAGTGGGTGGGGTGGGCTTCCCGCCCCGCGCCTGAAAAACCTCTCTGACAAGTGGCAAACCGTTAGCAGAGCACGCTGCTGCTGCTGCTCCCGCCGAAGGGGCTCGCTCCGCACCCAGCCCTGCTGCTGCCGACTTTTGGCTCCTCGCCGCTCCCCCCACCGCCCCCCCTGCAACCTCTCCGCCCCCCCTTCCCCTTCCCCCCCCCCCCCCCCCCCTCCCCGCGGGGCTGAGTCGCGACCCGCTGCCGGGCGGCGCGCCGCCGCTTCGCCTTGAAAGTGTGTGAGCCGGTTGCGGGCTTTGCTTCTACTCACCGCTTTCCCCCCCTATTCCCCCCCTGCCCACCCAAAAAACAAACAAACAAACAAAAAAAACAACAAACCTTTTGCCTTTTTGTTTTGCTTTTTGGGTGTTTTGTTTTTTGTTTTTTTTTGTCCCCCCCCCCCCCCCCCCCCCACTTGATTGTTATTATTTTTTTGCCGCTGTTTGTAAACTAATCGCCTCCATGGGGGGCGGAGGAAAGGAAATCAAAGCCGCCGCAGCCGAAGGGTGTAAAAGCGCGCCGGGGAAGAGCCGCGGAGCCGCAGGGCGGGATGGCAGCGGGCAGCGCGGCTGCGGAGGGGAGCGCTGCCCGCGGAGGGCCGGGCCGGGCGGCTCCGCGCTGGCGGTTCTGCTCTCCGCGCTGGCCGCCGCCTCCTGCGTCTACCTGGGGGTGCGGACCAGCGACCTCCAGGCCAGGGTCGCGGCCATCGAGGGCGCCCGGGGGGGCTTCTCTGCCGCCGCCCCGCTCCCGCCGCTGCCCGGCTTCTCCCTGGAGCAGCTGAACGCGATGATGCAGGAGAAAGTGGAGCGACTTCTCGCCCAGGTGTGCGGGACGGGGTGTGTGTGTGTGTGTGTGGGGCCGGCTGAGGCTATGGGGGGGGCGGCCGGAGCGGCTCCGCGGGCGGGAGGTGAGGGGGCGACGGGGAGAGTGAGCCCCCCATCCCCGGGGGTGGGGGGGGGGGGGGGTGCCCCGGCTCCTGGGGGATTCGTGGGTGACCCCCCCGCCCTGACGCCACCGGCGCTTTTCTCATCGGTAACTTGCCGCCGAGCCCGAGCCTCAGTCCCCGCGTTTCTCGATCGCGCGCGGAAAAAGGAAAAAAAAAAAAAAAAAAATTAAAAAAGCAGGGGGAGGGGAAAGGGAAGGGGGCACTTGTGGTGTAGGTGGGAGAGAGCCGGTGGCGTCGGGCTTGTTTTTGTTGTTGTGGGGGTGGAGAAGTCAGTGAGACCCCTTGGGTCGAGTCCAAGCGAGGAAGGCATCGCTGGCCGCGCAGCCACGGCCGCGGGAGCTGCCCAGCGCCCTCACGTCGCTTCTCTCGCCCACAGAAATCCTACGAGCACTTGTCAAAAATACGAGTAGCGAGAGAAGCGCCTCCAGAGTGCAACTGCCCACCAGGTAACAGCCGCGGCTTGGAAACCTCCTCTCAGAGGCTTGAAACTCGGGGGTGTGTGGGGGGGTGTGGGGTGTGGTATCCCGGGTTTTTTCAAATACACCGAAGTCAGATCCAGGGGATGCCTCCGAAGTCAGCAGCTGTATCTCTGGTGGCAAAGGTGTAAAGCCCAGAATCATCCGTTTCCAGTGTGGCACTGGCTTGGAATTAATACTAGTTAAAAATCCTGGTTAGCCTGGGTGATGCCAAACAACAGCACTTCTGAAGAAGTTAATGATCTACCCTTGCAAGAAGAAATATATTCTGTCTTAAACGGGGTAGTACTGGTTCAAGGCATTGTGTGCTTGGCTTCGGAAGTAGAGCAAAAGTTCCTAGCAAAAATATCGAACAATTTATAGCATGGCTTGGAGTAGGCGGAGAGTCCATTGCAAGTTAGCAGTAAAATATACAAGAGCTTTTCAGTCTCATTTTTCTGTAATCTTGGATGAAAGCAGTTCCCTCAGGAAGGGATTGCAGGTTTCATACTGAGGGTTCAAAGCTGTGTGTGTTTATGCAACCAGTGATGTTGCTTGACTTTGGAAATGGGGCCCCCTAATACTGGGATCGGTTGTTCATACACACTGCAATGCTCCCTCTGTTTTTTGTTCTGCTTTTTGACAGTCCGATAACTGTCAATATTGTTTTAGCTTTATAAACTTCTGCTGATGCACACCCAAGTTCAAATGGTGTCTTAAAAGCTATGAATCTGCTGCCAGTGTTTCACAGGGTGATGTAGGGATTCCAACATCCTCTGTGTGATGGAGTACACTAGACACGCGGTATGCTTTACATCTCCTGCCGCTCTGTATGAAAAAAACATCTCCTTTAGAGGTGGAATATCGACTGTCAACAAGACTTAAGATGATGGCCTTTGCCAATAGGATGTGTGATAGTACCATCTATGTAAGGAAGGAGCTATTCTAGTTTAGGATTTAATTCCTGCCAAAATCTACCAAATCACGGTGTTAAAACTGACTACAGTGGTTGGTACAGTATTTTGCTGATGATACAACTGAGAGCAGAATATTTACTGGCTGGTACAGGAGTTACCATGGCTAGCATGGAAAGGACAATATATATGACTAGGACTGTTTTAAAAGACTGCATAGGATTACTCAACTCCAAGCTAGTTTTGGTAAGGAACACTGGTTTCCTGCTGTACTATATATAATTTTTTCCTTTAAGGCTAACATGAGTATACAGTGTTGATCTTATTTTTTCTGTTGCTTAACTTCAATAAATTACAAGATTCAAGTTTGTGCACTAAAAATGAGGCTTGCTCATCATGTTGTACCCTAAGATGCATTCCGTGAGCCTGAGACATTGTTGAATTTAATGACAAGCTCTCTTCCTTTTCCTTCTCCGTGTCTAAATTAATCTGTTACAATGCTTTCACTTACTGTTTTCATACTAAAGGTCAGTATCTACTTTTTCACAGTTAGTGTTATGCGCTGCTTTACTTACCCACCACCACTAGAGCCCCACATTATACCAATTTTTATCTGACCTTTTTTCTTAAGTAGTATGTTTTATCAAATAGATAATGAACAACAGAATAGTTCTCATGTGCATTGTAAAAAACCTTGTTAGATGAAAGTCAAAATAAAGTGATGTGGGAAACATTTTCAAGGCAACAAGGTTCATAAGAGCAGGAAAGCTTATATGAATTGTTATAAAATAAAAAAATTAAATTGCAGAGGGAACTAGCTGGTATGGGGATTAGAAACGTGATATGGAGCTTTTCACCTCTGAGTAGCTATTTCAGTTTGGAAGCAAGTTTTGTAGTGACTGAAAGATGTTGCCATGTGATAGCCTCATTTTGGACAGCTTAAAAGGAGTTGATGCTCTCATGCTTGTTGCCAGTGGACAGGTGTCTACCTCAAAATGGCATCGTCTTGGGAGCCTTGACTGAGAGAACAAGGGCTGGGTGGCACCACCAGCTGAGTACTGGGCCTTCCTAACAGCAGGCGTTAGGCAGAGCAGGAGGGCATGGAGCAAATAAATTGTTGTTTTTTCACATTTCACTTTGTTAGAATTGCTTTTTGGCTGGACAGGATGGGCTTTCATTTTCACCCTTAATGCTGCTATTACTGTGTTCAGAAAGGCGTTTGTATCTTGGAAGCTCAGTGTTTTTTCTGTTGCCTGCTATTTGTGAAGCCAAAGAGTAAATTGCTTCTTTACTTCCCCCCATGGTTCCCTTTTGCTGCTTTATTCTGCTCAGCTTCTGCATTTCTTCCCCGGGTTTCTGTAATAATGAAATACATGACTGCTAGAGATGACTTTGGAAGGCCCTTGTGTACAGAGGTGATTTTTGAAACATCCCTATGCTGTGAGAAAAGGCTGCTGCCAAATGGCCACCAAGGCAGTTTCCATCATCCTGCTTTTTAATGAGAAATAAAGATTATTTAAAAATAGGTTATATTGTTCTCTACAAAAAGAAGAGAGGGAAATTCAATCTGCAGGCAGGAGAGTGAGTATGTGGCCTCTGATTTAGGATTAAAGTTATGCAACTGGTGTAGATCTCATTAGCTTGAGGTGTTCAATCCCCTTGTGACTCTCCGTGGTAGGAACTTGAACGTTCAAAGGAAACTGGGTTTGAACAGCTTGGATGCCAAAGGCAGCCAGATTCACCACTGCTTGTAGCTTGCAGAGTTGTCCACGTGTAGCTCCTTTTAATTCAACGCTAGCCTTGAACTTTGTCTAGAGTGAAGAGTGGTCACATTTCTCTTTTAAAAAATTTGATTTTCACTAAATGTGTGTTGGTTTGTTTTTTTTTTTTTTTCCTAATTATTATTTTCTGTTTTCTTATAGAAGAAACACAATGTGAGGAGAATTAGAGTTTTAATTTTAATTCTTCAGGACTAAAACCAGATACCAAAGATTTTGTAAATATTTTTAAAATGACAATAGCAGGCATTCTTTCTCCTCTTAAAGCAGAGTAATAAAATTTGAAAAGTAAATGCATGCTGACATTCCTCTTAAATTACCTCAGCTCTAACAAGAGTGCCAGCTTAAATCCCATACTTGCAACTAGTGCTGCAGTCACTGCTGGCAGTTAGCCTCCTGTGCATAGGACTGGGGGGCAAAATGAGTGACTAAAATTATTTTAAGCATAATAAACTTATATTCATTTGCCATATTTATTACTTATTGTAAATTAATGTTTCTCTACTGTAAAAGATGAAGAAAAAAAGTGGGTATGTAGGTAATAATTTCATAAGTTTGAATCTTACTTTAAATGGATGTGGGAGCATAATCAGCTTTTATGAGGAACAGTCAAGCACAGTGCTGGATACTTCTTACCAAGTGCCAAGAATTACACTGTTGTGGAAAGAGTAACACGTGCAGAAAGCGCAGGGACACTTCCAATTCAATAGAGTTTTAACAAATTCTTAGGTTTTGGTAGATTCTTCAGACTTTCCTCTTCCAGAAAGCATTCATTGTGTATACCCAGGACCTTTAGACTTCAACAGATATTAACATATGCTTGCATGTTTTTAGTGAATTGATCCTTTATATATGGTAAGGGTCAAATTCTGACATTTGCCATCCTGTGCCGTGATGTCTCACTCTGTAAGTGGTCCTCAGAACCTGCTCCGGGAGTCAGATATTGTTGGCAGGAGTAAGAGTCAAGTCTATTACTAACAGAAAATTCAATCCTGGTCAGCAGGAAGGCTAGCAGGTGATTATGTATGGTTCCGCATGCCTCTCTTGGCCAGTTTTGGGAAGCAATTACTTTTTTGTTCTCTTTTGAGGCAGGCCTTTATAATGAATTTATTCTTAAAAAAAAAAAAAAAAGAGGGGGGGCAAACAGTATTGTATAAGTAAGAATGTCTATATGCCAGACATTTCTTTAATTCTGCGTTGGCAAAGGATAGGTTGCATAAGATAAGAGATGTTTTTTATCTCGAAACGCTATGACGCACTGTGTATGTATACTCACTGTTGCTTGCACATAAAATGATGGTGTTTGCAGGTTTTGGTGTTGTGGGGTTTTTTTCCCCTTCTTTTTCTCCCCAGAACATTAGCTAAACTTCACTGATGAGTACCTGGCAAAGTAATTTAATATATAATTAAATATATATAAAAATGTAATGAGATATATTTATATGCAAATTTCATATATGGAAACATAATTCAATATATAGTAATAAATAACCAAACAAATTTACTTTTGTTTCTTTTGTGCCACAGGCAATGTTTCTTCCTTTGCTCTTTCTCTTGTATTTTTCCCATGAAGAAACCTTCATTTTTCTTCTTGTGTTCTGATACCTGTGGCTTCAAACCCTTTCCAGGCATGGACACCGTCATCATTCTTACCCAGCTATTTTGTGCTGTTTTTCTAAGCACGTCTTCTTGATTCTCCGTTCCAGTCTTAAAGAGCCTTATGGTTTGGGATTTGAAGTACCGTCTCCTTCACCATGCAGTTTGCTGCAGTCAGGTTATAAAGCTTAGTTCAGTGTAGTTGTGTGTATGTAAACCCGTTCATTTGGGGCATGAAATACCATAAGCCAAGGGGTTTTTTTGCGGGGGTGGATAGAGAATACCAGTTTGTCTTATTCTGGTTGTAGTAATTCTAGTGGGAAAACTGTATTCTACAGCTGCAGTTCTTCAGTAAGATCTGCTATATGTATTTTGGTAGCAGCATGGATGGGAAAAACCAATGTATCTTCTTAGCATCCCAGTACTGTTTTTGTCTTCTTAAGCACCTAATCTTTGTGTTGACATGTAGTGGAAGTACAATTTAGGCACTCTTTCTCATTTCCACATGTTCTATAAGGACTGTTTCCTGGAGCATTGTGATTAGTGAGGCTGAAAGAATGGAGAAGAAATCAGTTTTGGGGATTAAAAGAATCCTGGTATTGGCAGGGTTTTCCTTTTTTTTTTTTTTTTTTTTTTTTTTTTTTTTTTTTAAATTATGATTATAGGGAAGTAGTTCTGTAAAGACTCAAGAGGCAAAGAGGAA